AGCCCTGACAGGGGACCAAACCTACAGCCTAGGTGTGTGCCTTCACTGGGAGTCAAACCCATTACCTTTCAGACCTTTTGGTTTCCAGGATGATGCTCCGACTGAGCCACACCAGAGAAGGCAATCTGCTAATATTTCAAATAGAATCTTTCCATCTGTGTTCACAGGACAGATTGGCCTCTAAAATGTCTTTCTCTTACTGCACATCACTGGTTTGGATACCAAGGTTATATTAGCCCCATAAAATGAGTTCTTTATATTTTTATTTTCTAAAAACTTTATAGAAGATTCAGACTTCCAGCCAAGATGGAGGCGTAGGTAGATACACTGTGCCTCCTTGCACAATCAAAAGAAGGCCAACAACAATTTAAAAACAAAAACAACCAGAACTGCCAGAAAATTGAACTGTGTGGAAGTCTGACAAGCAAGGAGTTAAAGAAGAAACATTCATCCAGACCAGTAGGAGGGGCGGAAATGGGCAGCTGGGTGGAGAGGACTAACAGCAAGGTGGCGGCTGGTGGACTAGGGTGGTCCCACACTCGTATGCAGATAAACTGGGAGGAACAACTGAGGAGTGAGACAGCCCCACAGCCCAGAGCTCCAATGGGGAAATAAAGCCTCAAAACCTCTGACTGAAAACACCTGTGGGGGTTGAGGCAGCAGTGGGAGAAACTGCCAGCCTCACAGAAGAGTTCGTTGGAGAGACACACAGGGTCCTAGAACTTACACAAACCCACCCACCTGGGAATCAGCACCAGAAGGGCCCAATTTGCTTGTGGGTAGCAGGGGAAGTGACTGAAAGCCAGTGGGAGCTGAGCAAGTGGCACTGTTCCCTCTCAGACCCCTCCTGCACATACAGCGCAACTCAGCCATGTGGGCTGCCCCACCCTGGAGAATGCCTAAGGCTCCACCCCTTACTATGAGACCCCCCCCAAAAAAGTGGCCTAAATGAAAGAACAAATCAAAGCTTCAGAAAAAATACAACTAAGGGACGAAGAGATAGACAACATATCAGATACACAGTTCAAAACACTGGTAATCAGGATGCTCACAGAATTGGTTGAATATGGTAAAAAAATTACATGAAAAAATGAAGGCTATGCTAAGTGAAATAAGGGAAAACGTGCAGGAAAGTAACAGTGATGGAAAGGAAACTGGGACTCAAATCAACAGTTTGGACCAGAAGGAAGAAAGAAACATTCAACCAGAACAGAATGAAGACATAAGAATTTGAAAAAATGAATAAAGGCTTAGGAACCTCCAGGACATCTTTAAACATTCCAACATCCAGATCATAGGGGAACCAGAAGAAGAAGAGGGAGAGCAAGAAATTGAAAATTTATTTGAAAACATAATGAAGGAGAACTTCCCCAATCTGGCAAAGGAAATGGACTTTCAGGAAGTCCAGGAAGTTCAGAGAGTCCCAAAGAAGTTGGACCCAAGGAGGAACACACCCAGTCACATCATAATTACATTAGTCAAGATTAAAGATAAGGAGAGAATCTTAAAAGCAGCAAGAGAAAAGGAGACAGTTACCTACAAAGGAGTTCCCGTAAAACTGTCAGCTGATTTCTAAAAAGAAGCCTTACAGGCCAGAAGGGGCTGGAAAGAAGTATTTGAAGTCATGAAAGGCAAGGACCTACATCCAAGTTTACTTTATCCAGCAAAGCTATCATGTAGAATGGAAGGGCAGATAAAGTGCTTCCCAGATAAGGTCAAGTTAAGGGAGTTCATCATCAGCAAGCCCTTATTATATGAAATGTTAAAGGGACTTATCTAAGAAAAAGAAGATAAAAAATGAACACTAAAATAACAATAAACTCACAGTTATTAACAACTGAACCTAAAACAAAAACAAAAACAAAAATAAAAATGAACTAAGCAAACAACTAGAACAGGAACAGAACCACAGAAATGGAGATCACATGGAGAGTTATCAGCAGAGGAGTGGGAGGAGGAAGGAAGGAGAAAAGGTACAGAGAATAAGTAGCATAAATGGTAGGTAGAAAATAGACAGGGGGAGGGTAAGAACAGTATAGAAAATAGAGAAGCCAGACAACTTACATGCATGACCCATGGACATGAACTAAAGGGGGGAAGTCCATGTGGGAGGGGGTGTACAAGGCGGAGGGGAATAAAGGGGGGAAATGGGACAACTGTAATAGCATAATCAATGAAATATATTTTTTAAAACTTTGTAGAAGATTTAAGTTAGATAGTCCTTAAAATGTTTGATAGAGTTTGTCTTATTGATTTATAAAAGCTCTTTGTATGTTATCCATATTAATTCTTTGTCTGGCAATATGTATTTTGAATATGTCTTTTCTGTCTTTTAAATTTTTTCTATGCATTTTTATGTAAAGACATTTTATAAGTGTTATGAAGTCAAATTTAAATATCTTTTCATGATTTCATGTATTGCTCAGGAAAATTTTTCTTAACACAAAATTATTAAAATTTTTTCCTTTAGACCCTGGCTGGCATAGCTCAGTGGATTGAGCGTGGGCTGCGAACCAAAGTGTCACAGGTTCGATTCCCAGCCAGGGTACATGCCTGGGTTGCAGGCCATAACCCCCAGCAACCGCACATTGATGTTTCTCTCTCTGTCTCCCTCCCTTCCCTCTCTAAAAATAAATAAATAAAATCTTTTTTAAAAAAAGATTCTCTCTTAAAATTTTTCCTTTAGATGTCCATAGTTTGTTATTTTTACATTTAGGGCTTTAATACATTTGTTCAGGACTATAATTTTTGTATGTTGCTGTAGAAATATGACTTGAATTTTTTCTGAGTATATATATATAGTTGCCTCAACATTCATTAACTGTCTTACCCTTTCCTTATTTATCCTAAATTGAACCTTTATCATAAACTTAATATATAGACTTTTATCATAGATTAAGTGTATGTGATAAATGCGTGTGTCTTCTTCTCCCTCTCTCTCTCTCTCTCTCTCTCTCTCTCTCTCTCTCTCTCTCTCTCTCTCTCAGTTCCTGGGCTGGTAAAACACTATTTGAATCACTCACTTTGTAATATGTCTTGATCTCTGGTAGGGAAAGACCTTTCTCTTTTTTTTTTTCAAGATTTCTTGGCTATTTTCATGCTGCCTTTCTCCCAGAATCTCTTTAGAATGAGTTCGTCAAGTTTCATGAGGACTGCATTGATTTTGATTGGGATTGCATGAAGTTTATAGATTAATTTCATACCTTTGCAACATCAAGTCTTCCTATCCAGAGATGTGGAAAGATGAGTCTGTTCAGGCCTCCCTGCTCCTTAAGAGCTGTATGCAAAAAGAACAGAAAAAGAGCTGCAAGCAATTGGCTGGAAACTCTAGTCCACTAGAGTTCAAAGCCTTCCCTAAGATTTCTCTTAGCTCCAGTCTTGAGCTTTAGCTTCCACTGAATTGATTCAGGTTATAAGCCCAAGTGGGGTAGGTTGTATTTTCCAAAGATAGTTGCACCAATATGTATCCCATCCTCCCAGCTCTTCCTGAAATACGATATTGATGCTTGTCCATCAAGAGGTGAGGTCTCTGTTCTTGCCCTCTGAGCCCAGGCAGACTTTTGTAATACCCTGGACCAAAAGAAAGCAATGACACTGATGCTGTGTGACTTCTGAGGCTAGGTCCAAAAAGGCAATTCTGTTTTTGTCTGGTGTTCTCCCTCTCTCCCCCTTTGCTGCTGTGTGAGGAGTTCGGCTACCATGCCAATGAGACTCTGTAGAAAACCCACGAAGAGGTCAAGGAGAGGGCTGCCCAGGAAATGCCAGCTGTTCCAGCCTCAGCTATCCGAGGCTTCCCAGTACAGGCACCGGACATGTGAGTGAAGAAGGCTTCTGGATGGCGGCAACCCCAGCCACCATTGGCCTGCACCCTCTTAACAGGTGCCAGAGTCAGGGCTAACCTCAGAGCCATTCCTGAATTCCAGATCCAAGAAACTGTGGCCCTGAGCCACTAAGTTTTTAGGCAACTGGCTACACTGCAGTGAACAACAATATACCACCGTGTGCTGTCCGGAAGTGACACTCACCCCCTCTCCATAGTTTCACACAGAAAAGCAAACTCACACGAGGCCTTCGTGCGTTTGGCCCACAAGTGATGAAGAAATGAACAACATAAATCCAACAGACAGCTTTGGACATCCTATTTCTTAGAAATCCTTTACACACATCACCCCACCCTCCCCAGGCAAAGCCCATCATCCCTCTCTCCCCTCCTCCTCCTCCTCCCTTCTTCTTACTTCCCACTAACTACAAATTCTTCTGAACTTTGTAAGGCAGACCAGTGAAATTCTCTCAAGCCCATTTTCCCAAACTCAGCTTCAGGAACCCCCTTCAAAGCCCAGGGACCTTTGCCAGCGTGTTCCCCGGAGCTGGGACTTTCCTAGGTCCCAGAACGTAGTCACTTCGACTGTTCTGGCTGGTCTGCACATTGAGTGCAGGCCTGGGAAACAGGGGATGGTCAATAAATCATAATGAAAGCTCAGATGTATCAAGCACCTACTGTGTGCCGGCGCTACATTAAACATTTCACATGCATCATCTTATTCAATCTTCACCAAAACCCTGTAAGATAGGAACTCTTATTATTCCCTTTTACAGATGAGGAAACTGAGACCTGAAATAGTTTTAGGTGCCTGCGGTTATACTGGCAGGTAGTAACAGAGTCAGATTGCTAAGCACTTGACCAATATTGCTTAAGCGACTGAAAGGGAAGGTCAAGGATTCAGGAGAGAGGCTACACTGGACGCTGGACGCTGGACGCTGGACCTGTGGGTTCTGGAAACTCTGGTATAGAAGGTGGTGGTTGTTTCCATGAACATGGAGGATGGAGATCACCCCCAATGAGTGGAAAGGCTCAATCCTGGAGACTCCGTGCTTAAGGAAGCTGCAGAGAAGACAAAGCAATAGAAGAAGAGGGGCACGTGGTGGAAGCGGGGCGGAGGAAGACTTCCAGGTCACAACAGCCAAGGGCTGCCCCAGGTGCCAACAGCGGGTCTGGACCACTGAAGAAGGGATGAGCCTCCCTGGGGACCCCCGGGAGACTGATCTCCCAGCTGAGGCAGAAGCAGGGCGGTGAGGGAGAGGAGGAATTCTGGAGGTGGGTGGCAGACAACTCTGATAAAGAGCACAGAACTAGAGGGAGGAGGAGGATGGGGTGTTCACGGGGTGGCTGATCCGGGAAGGGCTTCGGGATGTTTTAACATGAAAGAGGCCTGCTTGTTTGTCTGTGGAGAGGAACCAGGTGGGAGGGGGCTGGGCACAGCCTGCTAAGGGTTCTGGAGTCCGCTCCACCTGGAGAGAGGACTGACCGGGCTCGCGGGGCGAAGTGGCTGGGGACGTGGGGTAAGGGATGGGCCCGGGCTGCGGGTCGAGGAGAAGGTGGTGGGCCCCGGAGGTCAGGCTGGAGTGGGGACCTTGACGGCTGTCTGCCTCCACGCACAGAAGCAGGACCGTGGCCTCCGTCCTGCCCTGCGCCGCTCCTGTATTCACAGGGCAGGGGCCTCCGGGAAGTCCAGGGCGAGGACGGAGGGTGGGCGCTGGCTGCTGGACGGAGCGGGGCGGAGCTGGGCGGAGGGCATCGGCTTCCCTGCGCGGGTCCTCTCAGGTGACAGACCCCGCGGGCCCCCAGCCCCGCCCCGCGGCATATTCCGGGGGCCGGGCCCGCGGCGTCGGAGAGCAGCCAGCGCCGCGCTCGGAGCCTCCGCCGTCTGTGCGCGCGTGGACCCAAGCCCCTTCCTCCGCCAACCCGCCGCCGCGATGGCCGCCGCGGCCGCCCCCCGCAGCCTCCTTGTCCTGCTCCAAGTGCTCGGGCTCGCCCTAGCGCAGATCGTAAGTCCGAGGGCTACTCTCGCGCCGGGGTCTGGGGAGCGGGGTCTGGGGTCCGGGGCCCAGATCCCAGGCAGGAGTTTGATGAAGGGCTTGCCCTGTCCCCCACTCTCTGTGACCCTCCCTAACCCGAGGGGTCGCTTCCAACAGTCCCGAGACGCGAGTCCCCTCAGTAGGTGCACATATAGGATGCATCCCCGCACCGTGTGGATGAGCCGGGGAGCCAGAGGGACCCTGTCCCGAGATGCTCGCCCCTGCCAGGGACAGCATCGTGGAGCAGGAGCTGGCGCTGGCTCCTGGCAACCCGGCGAACCCAGGTGGCGTGGGAGACAATGGTGCCCATTCACAGGGCTCGGCAGCCTCCGCCCCCGCCGCCTCCCAGGGGGCGCCGTCTCCAGCCAGACGCCGCTCTCGGTCGGCGACTGCCTCTCCGCGGGGCTCGCGCACTTCCAAGGGCACCTGGGGCGGCGGGTCTAACGGGACGCGGGCGCAGAGGGGCAGGGTCCAGGCGCCGTCTAGTGCCCCGTGCAGTTTGCAGCTCTCCTGCGGGGCTCCAGCCTAAGTAAGGAGGGCGCGGGCCCCTAGCACGCGCGGAGTCCCTGCCTGGGTCGGGTCTCGCTGCACGCCCCCCACCCCCAATGAAAGGGTCACCCCAGGGAGATGGAGGAGCGATGCGGCAGAGGGATGCTTTGAGTGGGAGGAGGGAACAGGCTTCCCTCCTCTACACCGCCCCCTCCCCCGCAACCGCCCCTACCTTCCCTTCAGGTTTACCCTCACCAGGGGGAGTGGAGAGGGTACATACTCACTATCCATGCTTGTTGGACATCTAAAAATAATAGTACGAGCTACCCTTCCTTGTACTATCTATGGCTTATTTGAGCCATCAGCATCTCCATCTGTTCCTCACCACGACATCGCGAGGGCAGCGTGGTACAGTGGAATCCTGGCCCCACTACTTAGTCTGGGATCTTTCGTAATCTCTGTTAGCCTGTTTCCATAAGCGCAAACTGCGCTCGAAATCGTATCCGCCTCACAGCTCCGAGCATTCAGTAAGATGCTATATGCAATGGTGCACAGCACCTGGTATACCGTAGGTTCTCAATAAACGCAAGTTTGCTGCCCCATGCCCAGCTCCCTGCACTGTCTGAAGACTGCACATTCTCTGTGTGTTTTCAGAGAGGTCCGCCAGGAGAGCGGGGCCCTCCGGGCCCCCCGGGGCCGCCGGGAGTGCCTGGATCCGACGGCATCGACGTGAGTCTCTAATCAGGGACCGAAGCGGGAGGGAGGTTGTGGACAAAGGGGAACTTTGTGGGCGTTGGGGGCGGGGATAGGATGGGTGGGTTCCTGGAGATGCAGTGTCCCAGGTTGCCAGTAGGCGGCGCCGGCCCGCACCACAAGGAACCCATTTGTTCTGCAAAACCCCCAGACCAGCCGGGAGATGCAGAGCCGATTATAGCTGCCCACAGACAAGGAGCTGCTGTGCTGCCTACCCACCACAGCTCACAGCGATTCCTTATCCCCTGCCCCACCTTTCCCTTACGTTTAAGGTGGGAGATGCCTTAATCCCTTGCGCTGCCCACTGGCACGTCTGGATGCTTCTTCAGGGTAGTTTCGGAGCCTTGGCCAGACCGCTGACCAGCAGGGGCCAGACTCCTGTCTCTTTTGCATTTCTTTCCCCAATTTAGAACCAGCTGGGCTTGTTCCCTGATCTCCCTAGCATGGTGAGAGTTAAATTCCTCATTCAGGAAGCTCCCCCAGGAGGTCAACTCCATGTTTATCCATCTGGACAGACTTCTATTCAGCCTGGTGCCCCCACCCCAAACACAGGGCCCTGGGTTCCTGCCAGCTCCCTGGCTGCCTCCGGCTCGGAGATGCCTGGAGGCCTCTCTGGGGCTGAATCTGACTCCAGGCTCTGCCTGTCCTCCACCAAGGGGCCTTTGTCACTGCTGAAAGGAGGCCCTTCCTGCCTTGGGAAGTTTGAATCTGCCCCCTTTATAGGCCCCCTTACCTCCCGGGTTTCTTGTTTTTCTGTACCAATTCAGAGGACAGCCACTGCCTATTTCACTCACTTCCCCTTCATGTTTTTCTAAAAGTTCCTTCTGCTCTGGCTGGTGTGGCTCTGTGGATTGAGCGCCGGTCTGCAAACCAAAGGGCCACCAATTCTGTTCCCAGTCGGGGCACACGCCTGGGTTGCAGGCGGGGTCCTGAGTTGGGGTTGGGGGCATGTGAGAGGCAACCACACATTGATGTTTCTCTCCCTCTCTTCCCCTCGCTCTAAAAATAAATAAATAAAATCATTTAAAAAAAATAAAAGTTTCAAGTGTCGCAGGTTCGATTCCCAGTCAGGGCACATGCCTGGGTTGCAGGCCACAGCCCCCAGCAACTGCACATTGATGTTTCTCTCTCTCTTTCTCTTTCCCTGCCCTCTCTAAAAATAAATAAATAAAATCTTTAAAAAATTAAAATAAAAGTTTCTTCTCACACTTGCCCAAATCCAAGAGGCACCAGCTCTCCAAGGTAACTGGGAGCCCACACCCCCATCTGCAGTGCCATCACCAGCGCCTTTACCCGCACTGGCAGGTCAAAAAACATGTGGACATCACCCTCTCCTGCCTGGCTGGGATTGGTCTCAATCAGCCTATGATTTTTTTTTTTGAGGGAAATAGAGCTAGTTTTCTAAAAGTGCATGGCTGAGGGAACCCAGGACAGAGGAGAAGAGAGCGAGGAGATAGGCGTGTGGGACTGGTTGGCCAGTGCCTGTGTGTGCCGGCTTGGGGTACTCGAGCCAGTGCATGCTGTCTCACCCACTTGTGTCTTGCAGGGTGACAAGGGGCCCCCTGGGAAAGCTGGCCCTCCGGTGAGTGCTGTTTCCTCTTTGGCCTTTGACTCCTTGGCCAGTTCTTGCTCTCCTCCCGCTAATATTTGCTTCACCTCTGTTTTCAAGGGACCTAAGGGAGAGCCTGGCAAACCAGGGCCAGATGGCCCGGACGGGAAGCCTGGGATTGATGTGAGTAGCATGACTCTGGCATCTTCCCTGATCTTTTGTTCAGAGTGGAGCAGCAGGAGGAGACTGCAGCTGTGAACTCCCTTTCCCTTCACGTGCCTTGTGATCTCTCACTGGACCCCCACTCCCAGGAGCACGAATCCCAGGCAGATGGGGTCCAGAGAGGGGGTCAGTTTGTCTGCAGCAGCCAAGATTCAGCCTCACATTTCTGGCCTCCAAGTATCACACTGAACGCTGTGGGCAGAGCTGTCCTGCCCACCCCGTGCTCTCCTCCTCTCTCCCCCTCCCCACCCCACCCCCTCGAAGCCCGGGTGCAGCTCAGGAGAGGAACATGATTTGGCTGATCCTAGAGTTCTCAGGCGCCCTGGGGTCATGGGCTCCTGGACACAGCCAGGGCCATTGGGCTAGTCATCGGGTTGGGAAATACACATGCGCCAGTCACCGAAAGGTGGGAGGAGGAAGAGGCCCCATGAGTTGCCTTTGCCCTGCTGGCTCAAGAGGTGCCCACCAGAGCTGCGCCCAGCCCCCGGGCCCCTGCAACTCATCCGCACCCTGCAAAGATCACAAAGCACATTGCCTTGCACATCAGTCCTCACACATCCACCCGGAGAGGTAAGCATGGTTACTAATCCATGTTGCAGGTGAAAAAACTAGGGCTTTGCAGAAGTTGCCAAGGGCAGACATCAAGGAAATGATGTCTAAGCCTTCTAGACTCCTAACCTGGGAAGCATGAGCCTGGGCTAATCAACCTTTCAGTGCTGGTTTCTCATTTTTCAAAAGGAGATAATCCTTCTGCCTGCCTGCCTCCCAGGGTTACTGTGGGAACTGGGGAAAGGAGAGTGAGGTGTCGAGGTTCCTCGGCCCTGAAGGAATAAGGAGAAAAGCAGTCTGGGCCCACCTAGGAGAGACCGCTGTACCTGCCCTGCCCATGGGTCTGGGAGCAGGTTTGCCCCTCACTGATCTGCCTTCCTCCTTCCCCAGGGTCTAACTGGAGCCAAGGGGGAGCCTGGCCCCGTTGGGACCCCTGGAGTCAAGGTAAGTGGCCTGTAAGGGCAATCTAGAGCCAGAGTTTGGGAGGGGCTGCAGGAGAGAGGAGCAGGGACCCAGGAGCCACAGCCTCTGAGCCTCTCCCATTGCTCTTGCAGGGCCAGCCCGGGCTCCCAGGTCCCCCTGGCCTGCCGGTGAGTATAACCAGCAAAAGCTTCGATGGCCCTGTATGGATAGGGAGGGGGACTTAAAGTTGGGGCCATCAACCCAATCTCCTTTCCTTCTGTTGCAGGGCCCTGGCTTCGCTGGACCTCCCGTAAGTCCTCAGGGGTGGGGCAGGGTCCCTGAGACTGCCAGGGAAGATGATAGGTACTGGCCAGTAAGGGGGAGGGGCCAGCACACACTGATGCTGTAAGGGAGGGGCAGACTTGCCAGAGAACTCTGGCCCAGCCCACTCTGAGCCTCTCCACTGGCTGTGGGATTCTCTGGTCCGTAAAGCCCGAATCTGCCAGTCTCTCTGGGGTAGGTTGCAAAAAAAGGGGGAAGGGTGCTTGGGCACCGGTCCTTACCTTTGCGCCCGGGGTGGGCTAACCCTCTGAGGCACAGTGGCCAGTGACGTCTCTGCATTTAGGGACCACCTGGACCTGTGGGCCTCCCTGGTGAGATCGGAATCACAGGCCTCAAGGTGAGCCCAGCCACCCCTCTGCTGACTCTGCCTCCTGCCTCCAAGCCTGCAAGCTAAGTGTCTCTCCAGGAGTTCCTGGGCCTGCTTCTGGCCACCAGGGAGCTCCTCCAGGTCTGGGGCAGACACCCCTCCTGCTGAGCCCGCCCTGTGGTAGGTCTTTCAGGGAGACCAAGGGCTGGGGCCATCCCTGGCCGATTGGACCTTGAGCTCCCATGAGAGCCCGGATCTCAGGAGGTGACCCGGAGAGGAGGCTGGACAGGGGTATGATTTAGGTCTCTCTCACTTCCAGGGGGATCCTGGACCAGAGGGACCAGCAGGACCCCCCGGGCCCCCTGGGAAACCGGTAAGTGTCCTCAGACCTCCCACATGGCAGTGTGTGCAGAGGAAGGAGAAAGTGCTGGAAGCAAGCCTGGGGTGGGGAAGGTTGGAGTCAGGCCTCACACCCACACATCTCCTCCAGGGCCGCCCGGGAACCATCCAGGGCCTGGAAGGCAGCGCAGATTTCCTGGTGAGAGGGGGTCCTGGGGTGAGGCTAATGCAGGGAGGGGGCGGGTCAGCTGGAGATGGGCGGAGGTGGAGCTAGCACCTTGGGCCTGGAGACAGTCGGTGGGAGATGGGGAGGGCTGTGCAGAGTGGCTCAGCCAGGTGGGGTAGGAGGAGGGTTTGGGAGCTGGCAAGATGGGGAAGCACTGCCCTGCTGGCGTGAGGCCGGCTGGTGACCACAAAGCCCTGCGGGATTTTCCTTCCAGTGTCCAACCAACTGCCCGGCGGGTGTGAAAGGCCCCCAGGGGCTGCAGGGAGTGAAGGTGAGCTCCTGGCCCTAGTCTTGGGAGGGCGGAGCAGGTGGTCAGGTGGGGACCTCATACTGAGCTTTTGCTTTAGGGGCATCCTGGGAAACGTGGGCCTCTGGGAGATCCCGGCCGCCTTGGGAAGACAGTAAGTGTGAGGGCAAAGGGCCATGGAGGGCAGGGCCTGTGGGGAGGACCCTACTGGGCCTCCCCTTCCACCTCCCTTCCCCTTCCCGGGTGGTCTCTGGGGACAGAGCTTCCAGCTGGGCAGCAGAGAGGCCCATGTTCCAGGTCAGTGTATCCCTGGGCAGGTCCCTTCTCCTTGCTGGGCCTCCATTTCCCCGTCTGCCATATGGGATTGGAAACGGATGGTACCTTTGGTTGCCTGATACTTGTCTCTCCATCTGCCTGCCTGTCTGATTACCCAATCCTGCCTTCTAGGGTCCCAAAGGAGATGTGGGTGCTTCTGGAGAGCAAGGCATCCCTGGGCCGCCGGTAAGGAGCACTTCCCCCGGCTCCTCTCCTCATCCGAGGAGACCTTGGTGGGCTCGCTCCCCTGCTCCAGCCTCTAACTTGGAACAGAGACACCTGTGCCCAACTGGCGTGTCTCTGGGTGGGGAGACGGGGGCTAAAGCTGACTGTCAGAAATTGGGGCACAGAAACCAAGTCTGTCAGTCAGCAGACTCGGCTGGGGCCCAGGATCTGCCACTGCCCCCCAAGTGACTCTGGAGCATACCTCCCTATCTCTGAGCCTCAGTCCCCTCTATGAGGTAGGGACTCAGAGGGGCATTGTGAACAGGGGGCTGGAGGCAGAGAAGGTATCATGAAGTGTCCCTGGCAATTGCCATCACTGTCCTTCTTCTGTCCTGACAGGGTCCCCAGGGTGCCAGGGGCTACCCAGGCATGGTGGGACCCAAAGGAGAGACGGTAAGTGAGTCTGGGGGGTGTCTTGCAAGAGCTGCCCCGACAGCCCTCTGGCCTCTGGGGTGCAGCCAGGGCCGACCTGCTCCCGCTTCCTCTCCCCAGGGTCCTCGTGGGTACAAAGGCATGGTGGGCTCTGTTGGCGCCGTTGGGTCACCGGTAGGTCTGCCCCTGCTCACTCCCCACACACCTCCTCCTGGCTGGAGTTTCCAGGGCTGAGGAGGGGGCGTGGCTCCCCCCCCCCACCCCCCGGGCCCATTAACCTGGATTCCCGTTTGTCCTCGCCAGGGTGAGGAAGGGCCCCGTGGGCCACCCGGACGAGCTGGGGAAAAGGGTGACGTGGTGAGTCCTCAGGCCCCTCTTGTTCAGTCAGGCCCCTGGGGAGTGCTGGGCGGGGCTCAGCTCCCCCTGAGGCCGGTGTGTGCGTGCACATGGGGGTTACTCTGGGCGTCTGTACATGGGGTGTCTGGTTCGGGAAAGGAGCATCTGCACCCCGCGCCCAGTCAGCTCCACCAGCCGCCAGCCCCGCCTGTTGCTGATCACACTCAGACTTCGGGAGGGGCCAGGAGATCCAGTCTCACGGTCACTGCGGCCAGACAGCTAAATTCCAGCAGCTCAGCCACGGGACTAATGGGATTTGGGGCAGACCCCAGTTCTCTCAGCTTTTTAAAATTTTAATTAATAGACTTTATTTCTTCTGAGCAGTTTTAAGTGTACAGAAAAATTGAACAGAAAGCAAGACTAACTATTCTTTTTTTTTAGTTTTTAGCCAAGCAAGTTTTTAAATATACACAGAAGTAGAGAATGATATAATGAACCCCCATATAAGTTATCTCCCCAAATTAACACTTTGCCACACTCACGTCATCCTTCCTTCACTTTGGTATTGCTCTGCCCTGACACTTTTCAAGCAAATCCTTAACATCATGTCATTTTACCCCTAAATACTTCTGTATACATCTCTTAAAAACAAGCACTTTATTTCACAGAATCACAATATCATTATCACAGCAACAAAATTATCAAGTGTTTCTTAACATCATCAAATAACCAATCTGTGTTCAATTTTTCCCAATTATCTCGAAAGTGTCTCCTCAGGGTTCTTGTTCAAATTAAGACGCAAACAAAGCGGTGCGCAGCGGGGCTCCCTGAGCGCTGGCCCCTCCCCCCCACGCCTCGCCCCGCCCCTGCGGTTTGGCGCTGACCTCCACTCCCTCCCGCTGGGTCCAGGGCCACAAAGGCATTCCCAGGCCCTTTTCCTCCAGCCCCTGCACAGCACGGCCTGTGCCAGAGGGACACTGTTCTCAGCTGTTCCCCTCTGTGAACAGCCAGAGGGGGGTTCAGGACCCTGAAAATGACCTCATTTCTATCCTCTCTGCAGGGAAGCCAAGGTGTTCGAGGACCCCAGGGAATAACGGGCCCAAAGGGGGCGACAGTAAGTGGCCCAGGCCCACCCAGCCAGAGGGCGGGGTCCAGCCAACTCCGTCCAAACCCCCAGAGAACCAGCCCCTGGGGACTCTAGACTGAGCTCTGTTGCAGGCGGGCTTGGTCACCTTGGGAAATGCCTCGTTTTTGTTAACCTGTAAATAAGGTGATGATGTAGGAGAGACCATGGAAAGCTTGCAGCAACCTGGGACACTTGTCACCCACACAAGGGAAGGACTGTGGTCTAGCCCCCAAAGTCCCATTCCCACTTCCACTCCCCTCCCTCAGTTGATTGGTGGGGCTTCACGAGATGACCAGACCCACTTCCTGCCTGCCCACTGATTGCAGCTGTCACAGGGGGACGTGGGTGGGTGACCTGACCCCAGGCATCTCCCCATGGTGAGTCTACCTTCCACTCTCCCCCTGAGCAGGGTCCCCCAGGCATCGATGGCAAGGACGGGACCCCAGGCACACCTGGCATGAAGGTAGGAGTAGAGGTTGCCCGTGGGATTGGGTCAAGGGTCAGGGCCCCTCCCAGCTCAGACCCAGGGCCCCATCACACTGACTTTGGAGGTCCAGGAGCCTGGGACCCTCAAGTGTGTCATCAACGCATCCCCTCTTGTCCCCGAGCCTCGGTTTCCCTGCCTGCATTCTGGTGGGAGCCGTGGACCCTCTGGTGGAACTCTCATTCATGCCTCTGGTTCTCTGTCTCCCCCAGGGTAGTGCCGGACAGGCGGGCCGCCCAGGAAACCCGGGCCACCAGGGCCTGGCGGTGAGTATGGGGAGGGGGCACGGGGGCCGCCTACCACAAACGGCTGCTTCTTTTCCCCAGAAAGACCAGGTGCTCTGTTGCCCACCTACCTCTCCATGATGACATGCGTGGCTGATGAGGTCAAAATCTACACACCCAGAGCACCTGCTCTAGTCCTTGTCCCCACCCAGCCCAGCCCTCATCCCCAACTCTGTGGCCTTTGGCCTGGCTAAGTCCTCATCATTTGAATAATTGCTCCAGCCTTCTGTTTGGCCACTCCATTCCTCCATGTTGGCCAAGTGGGATCTGACCATTTCCCCACTCCAGCACCTTCCATGGCCCTCATCGCCTCCAGGAAAGTCATTCTAGCCTAGCCTGTCTGTCAAGACACAGTTACTGAGGACCCAAGGCACCCTGAGTGGCAGAGAACAGCCACAGACAGACAGCTACAGCCCTTCCCCTGCAGCTCATCTCAGCTCTCAAGGACCGTCATAATCAGCCCAGCTTACCCTCCCGCCTCCTCAGACACTGCATCTTTTACACACCTTCTGGGAGCCCAGTCCACAGGAGCCCCCCCCGCCCTGGCTCCCCACCAGGGGTGCTGAGGCCAAGGCCTGCTAGCGTGCTCATGTGTGACTGGGCTGCTGTGTGCACCAGCGTGTGCCTGTGAGCACATAGCATGCTCTTCTCCTGTGGACCACAAATGCCTCTCTGACCCCTCCTCTCCCACCATGGCTTGGGGGCTGGGTACAGTCAAGTTCATGATGCCTGCGCCTGGGCCTGCTGCTGTTCAGCTCCCTCAAGAGGGCTGGGGACCTGAAACAAGGGTGGGAGGCAAAGCACAGATGCGTGGCACTGCCCCATGCCAGGGCGGAAACCAATGACAACTTTCTAACAGGGTGTGCCAGGTCAGCCGGGGACAAAAGGAGGCCCTGGAGACAAGGTGAGGTGACTTCAAGCTGGCGGCAGAACGGCTCCCTCTGAGCAAGGGAGCCTGGGGGCAAGGGCCCAGGGGCTTGTCATAAAGACGGAAAGGCTCAGGCCTCACCCCAAGCTCAGAGACTCAGCCGTACATGAGTTCCTCAGGACTAAGCAGGTCCCTCCTGTCACCCCTCCAAGCCCCTGCACCTCATCCCAGCTCCGTGAGACAGGATGGCCTGGCTCCGAATCCGGAGGAGAAACAAACAGGAACATCCCCGGAGCCCAGAGGACGTGGCCAAAATCACCCTCTCCCTTCCACAGTCATTTGGCTCGAGTCTGCTTAGGGGTTCACTGGGCTACTCCAAGACCGAGGGCCCCACTGGGCCACCCAGTCTGACCTTAGACTTGTGTTTTCCTGCAGGGTGAGCCAGGCCAGCAGGGCCTCCCTGGATTCTCTGGTCCCCCTGGAAAGGAGGTAAGTGCCCTCTCCTCTAACACAAGGGCTCTTGCTTTGCCACCTGCCCCACGCCTGAGGACCCTGCACTCAGCTTATGGGGTCTGGGGGAGACTATGAGATGAAGCCCTACATAGGGGTGTCCTGGGTGCCAGCCAGGGCCCTGCCACTGACCCCCTAACCCAGGGAAACTCCCTCTCCTCTCTGTACCATGCGGTAAGGGTAGAGGCGGGTTCTGTTCTGGGTATGACCTCCCCATATGACCAAGTTGACCGGGGCTAAGAATCCAGCAGACAGATTCATTCATTCAGTCATTCCATAAACATTTACCAAACGCCTGAGACTGTGCTGAGATACACAGTCTCCCACTCACACAGAGTTTACAGTTTAGCAGAAGACACAGACATTAAATAAATGACCACAGGATAACTAATTGCAATTGTGTTTGGTCCTACGAAGGAAAAGTACAAAGACCTGAAGAAAAAAACAGGGGGAAAGGGAAGGCTTCCCTGATGAAGCGAATTAGCTGTAACTCAGAGATGGGTGGGTGTTAGCCAGGTGTGGAAGGGAGGGACCCCCCCAGGGACCCCCAGGCCTTCTGCTGACCCCCAATTTCCCTGTCCCCCAGGGAGAGCCAGGGCCTCGAGGAGAAATTGGTCCCCAAGGCATCATGGGGGAGAAGGTAAGTAGTGCCCGGCACATGGCTCCTCCCTGGGGGCCTTTGCAGCTGCTGGCTCTGCTGGGCCCAGAACCTGGGTCCTCCCAATGGCTGCAGCGCTTGCCCTGTCCCGTCCACCCTTGTGTGAGGCTCCCCTAGCCCAGGCCTCGGTTGGTTTGTCTGTGAGGTGGAGCAAAGGACTTCCATGCGGGTGACAGCAGAAATGGAGGGTGCCCTGACTGTGCAGGGGGAGGCTGCCGGTGCTGGTTGCCTGGGTGTGACCCTTTCTTTCTATTTCAGGGTGACCAGGGTGAGAGGGGGCCAGTGGGACAGCCAGGCCCTCAAGGACGGCAGGTAAGTGGGGGCAACTTAGATTGGCAGTGGGGAGCATGTCCGGGCACCTCATTTGACTTACTCCTCTGGGTTCTTTTCTTTTCAGGGCCCCAAGGGGGAGCAGGGCCCCCCGGGGATTCCAGGACCACAAGGCTTGCCAGGCATCAAGGGAGACAAGGTACCAAATGGCGCCGGAAAACACCCGAGAAGGAGGCCCTAGGACCGTGGGGGGTGAGGGGGTCGGGAGGAGGCCAGATTCTTACCGAGCTTCCAAATCTTCGCAGAAAAATATCCTTCTGTGGGTCCCAGGGAGTCCTGAGGGGCGAGGTGGAGCTGCAGAGGGGGGCGTGGCCGGGAGCCGGGGTGGAGGGACCCCGTGGACCCAGCCCTTCCTGAGAGGAGAGCTCACCAAGCCCTCGACTCCCCGGCTTTCTCCAGGGCTCCCCAGGGAAGACCGGGCCCCGCGGCGGAGTGGTGAGCACCAGCGCCTCCCCTTCCCCGGCTTGGAGACGTCCCGGGGGTCGGGAGATGGGGCGCAGGGTGGAGGTGTCCCGCTCTGCTCCAACGGGGCTCTGACTCGTGGTTCTTCCTTTGCAGGGCGACCCAGGGGTGGCCGGCCTCCCAGGAGAGAAAGGCGATAAGGTGAGCCTGCCGCGGGGGAGGGGCCGGGGGGCGAGTTTCAGTGGGAGCAGCGGGTGACCCGGGCCCCCACCACCTCGTGACCGGACCGTGCTTCCTTGTGCCGGCAGGGAGAGTCTGGAGAGCCGGGGCCCAAAGGACAGGTGAGTGGTGTCCCTGCGCGCCTTTCTCCCGTCCCCCCGCCCCGCATCCCTGCCAGCAGTTGGGGCGGAGGTTGGGGGCCAGGCGGGGTGGGGCCGGGCCTTGGGGTCCTGGTTCTTCACGCCCCCTCCCCCACCCTCTCACCCTGACTCTGCTCCCGCCCCGCCCCGCAGCAAGGAGTCCGCGGAGAACCTGGCTACCGGGGCCCCAGCGGGGATGCGGGCGCCCCCGGGGTGCAGGGCTACCCCGGGCTCCCGGGCCCCCGAGGACTGGCGGGAGACCGCGGCGTGCCGGGACGGCCGGGGAGACAGGGCGTGGCGGTGAGTCGGCCCCCAGGCAGGGCAGCCTTCCCCATAGGAAATCTGTAGAATTGCTGCTCCTGTCCCGAGGCTGGGAGCTCCCACTGGAAGCCCGCGCCCCTGGGGCTGGTTCCAAGGCCCAGACCAGAGAGGGTGGGCGTGGGAGCGACAAGAGGGGTTTCAGTCAGATGCTGAAAATACTTCTGGAGAGAAACTGGGAGCAGGGAGGGGTCTCGGGGCCCTGGAGCAGCAGCCCTGGCAGCCAGGGGTTTCATCCTGAAAGGCCTTCTCTGCTTCAGGGCCGAGATGCCAGTGACCAGCACATCGTGGACGTGGTGCTGAAGATGCTACAAGGTGAGGGGAGGAGCCGGCAGCCCCTCGCTCTCCCCGGCAGGACGTCAGCCCCTGCAGAGTCTCTCCAGGTGGCCTTGCCCCGCTGTTTGGAGTCCTGAATGCTCATAGCAGCTCTGCCTCCGGGGGACTGAGGACCTTATTCATTCCCGCCAGCCTGCAGACCAGCGAGGAAGGGCGGGGTTGAACACGGGGCTTCTCTGTCTGCACACCCAGGGCTCAGGGGCTGTCAGGATGCTGTGCCTTCCCCAGTTTCTCCGGGCTGGCACCCACGTCAGACCTCTCTACCTCTCTCCCACCCCCCAGAGCAACTGGCAGAGGTGGCTGTGAGCACCAAGAGAGAAGCCTTGGGTGCAGCTGGCATGGTGGGCCCTCCTGGACCCCCTGGGCCTCCCGGGTACCCAGGCAAACAGGGACCCCACGGGCACCCTGGCCCCCGAGGCGTTCCTGGCATCGTGGGAGCCGTGGGCCAGATCGGCAACACTGGGCCCAAGGGTGAGTGTTGTCGTGCGATGGGTGGGTGGGGCCAGGCGGTGGGATTGGGCGGATGCGGGCCCCAGGGTCTTGGTGAGGCCGGCTGACTGCCCAGCCTCCTGTTTTCTCTTTCTCGGTAGCAGGTTGACAGAAACAAAAGTGCTATGCTATACCTTTGGTTTGGGGGGAGGGTTGTTTTTGTTTTGCATTTACTTAGGGGTACCCCATTAACATCTTTCCAAGTCTCTGAAGTGGGGAGGCAGGTTAACAAAACAGTGAAGCAGGCAGCTCCAGAATCACCAGGCGGGTCTGTGTCCCTCCACTTGCTGGTGGAGGCCCCGCCCGGGTCACCTGTTAACCTCCCTGGCTTTAGGTTTATCACCTGTAAAGTGGGGATATTCGTGGCGACAGCCTCATGGTGCTGTCCTGGGGATTCGTTCAGACAGAGGCGATTCACCTAGGGCGTTTAGCCCACTGCTTGGCTTGGTGAATGCCAGCTGTCCTTGAACTTCATGGGCTGTAAACAGGGTGGGGCAGAAGTACGTTTACAGTTGTGAGTTTGGGAAACAGAGAGTTTATTCTCGTATTATTATTTATTAGTCATTGTATTATTCTCCATATGAACAACCGCAAGTGTACTTTTGCCCACCCTGTAGTCTGCCCCCTTCGTCTGCACCTCCCTCCTGCATTTCCCCAGTTCTGCGGTCACTCCCAGCATTCCCCGAGTGTAAGCTAGCACAAAACAGGAATAATCGCTGGGTATGAAACAGAAATTAAATGGCGACCACAGTAGAAAAAAGTTTCCAATTCTGAAAATGAAGGCCCCCCGTCTTTCTCTGTAGGCAAACGCGGAGAGAAGGGCGACCGGGGGGACGTGGGACGTGGGCACCCCGGGATGCCGGGCCCCCCAGGGATCCCAGGTAAGACCTCGGCCCTGCCCGGCAGCAGCTGTGTCCCTCAGCTCTGGGATGACGCCCACAGACAGCTGGGTGTCGTGCATGGACACCTCGTGCTCAGCCAACTCCGCGCCATACACCCAGCTTTTGCGTCCCTTTGGGGCACCCGGAGCCCTTGGGTGGGGTCTGGACATCTGAGGACTTCTGGGTTGCACTGAAATCCACTTCATGGAGGGAAAGGCAGGGCATTTGCTCCCAAGGCTCACCGCTGACTGGGAGCTGGGAGTGGTGGACAGTCACATGCGTGTCTGGGGCAGAGTCCCTTCTTCCTGTGGTGTCCTTGGCTTTGTTGTCCCCACCTGAACAGTGGGACGCAGGAGTTCTAGAGCCAAGAGGAAGGCCTGATGTCTTGACCTTCTCCCTTTCCCAGGCCTCCCTGGCCGGCCTGGCCAGGCCATCAATGGCAAAGACGGAGACCGAGGGACCGCAGGGCCCCCGGGAGAGGCCGGCCGACCCGGCCTGCCAGGCCCTGTGGGGCTGCCAGGCTTCTGTGAGCCTGCAGCCTGCCTGGGAGCCTCAGCCTACGCCTCCGCACGCCTCACCGAGCCTGGATCCATCAAGGGGCCGTGAGCCCCAGGCCAGGACAGCACCCAGCAGGCATCCTGGGGGAAGGACGAGGTCCCCTCTGGATGGACGTGCACCCCATCCCTCAGCCCAGGACACTAGCATTCCCAGGACCTCTGTCTGGGACCCAGGAATCCTGAAGGAAAGGAAATCCTAACCCATGAGGGAAGGGAAGGGCAGGGAGGGCACTGGAGTGGAAAGGTGAGGCCAGCAGCACGGCAAGTGTCTCGGGAGAGTGCAAACTCGCAGAGGAGGGGGTGGCTTCCCTTCCCGAGCACCACTCAGACTTGTTACCAAAACAAGTACCTCTGTAATTTGTGCCATCCTCCGCTGGCCATCTTGTCCCTGGGGCCGGTGGACTGAGGTCTCTGCTGGTTCCTGACCCCATTTCACCCCTTGGACTTACCAGGTGACTGCTGATGGGTGACTACACAGCCATCATTAAGCCAGCCCCACTACTCCCCGCCCCGACCCCCGCCCATCTCAGTATTTAAGCACCCATGTCCCTTCTCTTTCGGCGTCACTCTCCCACTGCCCTCCCCTAGACCCACACAGGCCTTTCTGAAAATAAAAGCCCCCAACTTGGGCACAAACCAGGGTGTGAGTTGTTGGGCTTCATTTCTCATGGAGTGGGGGTGGGCCTCCACGGCCCCGGCACATGGCCCCGGCACGGCGGTCCCGGGCTCCTCCCTTCCTCTGGGCACGTCCTGAATTGTGAGCATTAGGATGGCCCGCGGTGTTGAGGAACATCCGTGGGGAGAACCTGGAGGTAGTCAAGACGGCGAACTGCTGTGTAACTTTGGGCAGATCCTTTCCCAGCCTTCGAACAGCGGTGGCAAGGACTCACCAAGCCTTTTTATCTCGGGAGACTGGCAATTTTCAACTGGTGCGCTACAAGAATTTTTAAAACGTTCCATACCTGACTGTTTACTCAGGGGTACTGACTCTTTTCCCTTAGACTGTCAAATAAAAAAATGACAACAGCCAACACAACAACAGCCATCCAGTGTGAATGCTCTGTTTTGAACCATAACTATATAGGTCATGTAATAGAGCTGTGTCTTATTGGTCACATTGTATAATGAGGTTGCATCTGATTGGTTAATTCTTGGTACCAGAAATCCTCATATATGTGTATAGGCACCTGATTTTTTTTTTAAGTCACTTTGGAGCAAAAAGGGTAGATAATTACTATTATCATTATTTTTGTAAATCAATCAAAATTATTCCTTTTTTTGTCAGACTGGCAAAAAATGTATTTTTTTGGTGTGCAGCACAGTTTTAGGAATTAGCGTGCCATGAAATGAGAAGGTTGAAGACTGCTGCGGTAGACCACACCCGGTGTCTGGCCGGCACCAGCACCCAGGAGGTCCCCAAGAGTTTTGGCACTCACTGTGTGCCGGCCCTGGGGCAGGGGCTGGCAGCAAAATACTAGAAGATTTGCCTCTTACCTTCCAGGGGTTCCCAGGCCCATGAGGAAAAGACATGGGTCTGGATGATGAGAGCAGAAGTGACAGTCACTAATGCCACTTCCACTAAGGGGACATGGAGCAGAGACTGGCTCCGACCTGATCTGTGCCCCTGGGGCTCCCAGCCTCGCTGCTTTGTAGGCCAGGCAGGCTGCTCCAAGCAGCAGGAGCAGGGAAGCGTGTGGCCTTTGACCTGTGCGAAGATGGCTTTCAAGGAGTGTCCAGTCCCTTTGCTCCATTATGGATTTGGGCATTTGTTCCCTCAAATGAAACGTTCTGCCTGAGGTCTGAAGCCTGGGCCCTCCTACATCTCACCTTAAACTTGGCTGTTCACCCCCACCTACGCTGGGGCATCCTTTGAACTCCCCTCGCTGGCCTGCCCCTCTCCTCCCTCCCTCACCCAGTACACCCACGTTTCAGCTCCCATGCAGTGACAGGAAACACAGGTGGGGTGGCCCTCAGGGCCACGTGGGTGGCTTTGCCCTCTGTGCTTTGGCAAATCCCAAATCACAGCATCCCAAATTCCTAAAATGCCCCAGGTTCTCATGTTTTTGTGCCTGCTGTTCCCTGGAATAGCACCCCTGCTGCCCTCCTTGTCTAGCTGATTCCTACTGCTCTTTCAAAACTTGATCTTGTCCTCTAGTAATCCGCTTCTTACGGCAACTGCCAGCCGGGCCAGGCACGTCTGCTTTTGTGCCTATTTATATCATCATAGTGGTTACAGTAAATTATTAATATCAGTATTAACAAGTATTAGTTATCAGTCACTGAGCTCATATTATGGTCAGGTACTGCACTGAACACCCTGCAAACATCCCACTCTGCCCTCCCAAGGGCCCCGTGAAACAGGCATGACCCCAACCCCACTTGTCATTTTAGAAAGTAAAACCTCTCAAACCCACTTATGCAGGGCTGTCTGATTTGGCTCCTCGTTCATCGCACCATCCTTGGATTCCTCTCCTGCTTTCTCATTTCCCCAGTATCTGACACACAGCTTGTCCTTGGACCACACCTTTTTCTCCCCTTCCTCTCGTGATCTCACCCGGCTCTGTGGCTCTAAATTCCATCCATGCCTCCCTAACCGAGACCTCTCCCCTTAGCTCAACCTTTCAAATTACTGAAGCTAAACATGCTGGAGTCAATCCCCTATCCTTCCTTCCTTCCTTCCTCTCTCCCTTCCTTTTATAGATTTTATTTATTTATTTTTAGAGTGGAGGGAAGGGAGAGAGGGAGAGAAACATCAATGTGAAAGAAATATCAATCAGTTGCCTCTTGTATGCACCCTAACCAGGGACCAAACCAGCAACTGGGGTGTGAGTCCTGACTGGGAATTGAACCAGTGACCTTTCAGTTTGCAGGACAACACCCAATTGGAGATACCTGGGTTAGAATCCATGTTGTTTCTTGTACCCCATATCTGATACAACAGCTGAAAATCCTGCTGGCTCAGCCTTTGAAATATATCCAAAATTCAACCACTACTCACCACCTCCCCTACTACTAGGCCAGTGACCGTTTTTATTTACTCTTGGAAGTACTGAGAGCCTCCCAACTGGTCCCCTGCTCATGCCCTTGCTCCTCAACACAGCAGCCAGGTGGTTCAGTTAAACTCAAATCAACCCATGTCACTCCTTGGCCTGAAGCCCTCCAATGGCTCCCACTGTGCACTAGGAAAAGCCTGAATCCCAGCAATGGCCTGTAAGGCTCTGTCAAACCCGCCTCCCTGCCCCCACTCTGACTTTGCCCCCTTGCCTTCCTGGCACACCCCATCCCGGCCACGCTGGCCTTCTGGTGTTTCTCATGGGCAGCAGGCTCACTCCCGTGTCAGGGTCTTGGCACTTGCTGTTCCCTCTTTCTGGAATGCTCTTCCTCTCAACATCTGCTTAGGTCACCAGCTCACTTCCTTCAGGTCTTTGCTCAAACGCTACCTTCAGGGGTATCATTTCATGACCACCCTTTAAAAACTGCAATCCCCACTCCCCACCATCACATGCAAACAGCTCAGGGGCTCATTTTTCTCCAAGACACGTGTCACCATTTGATACCTCTTATGTACCTGATTGTCCCCACACGGGAATGTTAACTCCATGAGGTGGGGATTTTTCTATCATAAATTACTAACGTTTCCCCAGCACCTACAGCAGAGCTGGTTACACAGCGGGGGCCTGATACTTGTTGACTGAATAACAGGTGGAGAGATAAAGGCTCAGTCGTTTCTTGCCCAACATCTGCCTAGTACAATGCTGGATTCTAGAGCCTTGGTTCTTACACTGAAATTACACCTTCCTGTTTACCAACCATCGTCCAGAGAGCCACAGGGGAGCCCCAACCTGAGGGCAGAGGCGGTTGTCTGAGATACTGGCTCATCCTGCTCATGGGGTTGGGGCAGTCCTGGATTCACAGGTTTTTAGAACACACAGGGGCATCTTCCCCTCTGCCGAATTGTTTAGGAAATCGTCCTCCCTGGCAACTGCCCTGCACAGTGCTACACCATTCCACTGCGGATCTCTTCTGCCTTCGCACCAACTGTGCTTAGCCCGACACGTCACTCATTCACATCATTGTAGTCTCAAGTCAGAAGTTTTTGTGTACAAGTTCTCTGTTTTCTTTGCACAGCACCCAAGACAGAACTTAAGGCCCTTGAGTGGTACTTAGCCTTCTGCTGCTGCTGACAGAACACTCGAAACAGTGAAAGCCACATAAAGCATACGTGGACAGAAGAATCCGAAGGACGGATGAGAAAGAACAAGTGGAAAACCTCCTCACACAGGGGGTTGGGGGAGACATTACGGACATAAAGGTAAAGGACAAGATGGGAACATCATTAGTACTAAAACTGCTGGATTAACCCCAGGGATTCTGTTCCTATCCTAAACAGATGTGGAACTTAATAGCAGCTCTCAGGCATCAGCCAAGGGCCCAGACAAACAAAGGCAGTCTACACCCAAGACAGAGACCCCGCCTTCATTCAGAGGCGGGCCCTGCTGAGGGCATGCTGTTGCATTTGAGGTCTTGCCCTCGTTCCTTCTACCCCTGCACATCTGCTGAGGGGTGCAACGTGCCACCCCTTTCTCTCCTTCGTTGGCCTCTCTGCACTTTCCCGTAACTGGTCAGTACCTCTGGAAGCTACCAGTATCCTCTGGCCATGCCTATGCCTCTGCCATCCATGAGTTACAGGTGAGCAGCTAAAAACAATTCCATATTAGAAAGCTAATTACTCCTGCCACACGTAAGGAAGTCCAAACAGGCAGCTGGAGCAGGCCAGACAGGCCCAAGACAATCTGAGGTCACAAAAACGGAGAGGGGATGGTTCTGAATGAAGCTTCTGAGAGAACACCACAAACACTGCTAACGCTCTGGGGTGGAGCAGGAGGAAGACTCCGAAGAGGCTGGCGCATGGGAGGCGCGGTGATGGCGCTGACCTCCCTCAGCACGAGGCCCGTCTCTCCCCACTGCTCTCCATGCCCTACAACTCAGTGCCTCTAGGTAATAAACATACAGCTGGGTAACAAACGACACGCACATTTCGTCAAATCAAAGACAAAGCACATCAATCTGCATTGACAATTTTAATGTTTCACTTGTGCAGAACTGAAATTTTTATTTAAAGGCACAGAAGGAAGGAAAGGCAGTTAACACAGCATGGATTCGCAATAAAGGATGCTGGATAAAAATCAGAGGACTGCTCCCCTTTTAGCCTTAGGCAAATAAATAATGCAGTACAAAACTAGATCTTTATTTTTATTGTATTTCCATGTGAAGACATCACCCAGTTATGAGCTGAGCAAAGACTTTCTGTCCAGATACCAGGGGCGCACAGCCGATCCACTTCGGACTAAATGCCCAGAAGGTAGTAAGCATGAACTGCGGGAGGGAGCTTAGGCACAAACGAGTTCTCACATAGGAGTGGACAGAGATCTGAAGCAGTCGCACACACAGCTTTGGAAACTGGAAAAGAAATCTTTCATGACATTCGTTTTAAAAAGAAAAATTATCTGCATATCAAGAAGTTTAATTTTTAAAACTGGAACCAGGCCCAATTAAATAGTACTTACAACTTATTAATTAATAAAAATTACAAAAATAAAAACCACAACTCTTCTGTCCTTGAAAGAGATAGAAAACTATATTTTTTCTTATAAGAGAATCATCAGCATTGTCACCTTTATGTCTCTTAAAATAGCATTTCTTCCGCTTTCCACATTTCATCCCTTTAAAAATAGCAAAGCCTGTTCAGGACGGTAATTTCCGCTAAGTGAATGAATACACCACCATCTACCGAGTAAAAGAGCAGAAATGAGGAAAAGGTTGAATGCTTTGCAAAATACTAGTTAACCTCTAGTGGGATCATATCCACCAGGAGGAAGGAAAGATAAAGACTGAGATTTTTTCAAAGATAAAACTCAAACCCAATGATTTAAAACACTCACTCCATACATAATTTCTACTTACAAAGCACTGTTGGAAACTCCCGATCAGCGTGTAGCAAGACAGGGAGCGGAGAAATTTGGCAGAACAGTAGGGCATATTTCTAACTGCTTTCATTTAAATAACATCGACCTTCCCAATTATTGTCTTTCTTCCTTATTTAAAACACTGATAAGCCAGATTAAATCATAACAGTGTGAAAGTAAAATCAAATCTCAATTTACAGGGACACAATGGTTCGGAACCACTGCTCCTGCACTGGACAGGACTTGGCAGGGGCGCGCCCCCCAAACACATTACATGCCAATTCCGTATAAATGTGTGAATAAATGAGTTCTGTATTTGCTCAAATAATTTGACAAGTTGATGGTAAATTCACTGTTAAAGATAAAAGTATAAGCCTTAAAATTTCATCCAGTGTTTTCATTAAGAAATGGATTATTTTTAATTTTTATTATTTTTCTATTTATTTACTTTTAGAGAGAGAGGAAGGGAGAGAGAAAGAGAGGGAGAGGAATTTCAATGTGTGAGAGATACATTGATTGGTTGCCTCTCGCATGTCCCCAACTGGGGACCTGGCCCGCAACCCAGGCATGTGCCCTGACTGGGAATCGAACCCGCGACCTTTCGGTTCACAGGCTGGCACTCAATCCACTGAGCCACACCAGCCAAAACATGGATTATTAAAATAATTTTTGAAATGAGATAGTAAATGTATTGTCATCTGGGCTTTACTGTACTTAATAATTTTCTTTAAAAAAAAGTTAAAAAAAATCAAGAGCTGGAACATGCTGTCAGGACAGGAATAATCAGAAATGTCTTCAGTTGGAGATCCTGGGCAACTCAGTCTTGTTTGGAATTTTTCAAAGCCTGAAGTCTTTCTAGTAGCGGAGGATGAGAATAATGCCACATTGAGAACAGCCAGTCAGAAACAGGGAATCCCAAGTTATCCTTGTTCAGCTTGATTAAAGCAGAATATAAGTCTTTAGCCTTCCCAAGTTTCTTAGCAAATGCATCCGCTTGAAACTCAAATCTGCGGCTTAGGACTGTTAGGCAAAAAGAAAGAACCTGAAAAGTAAATAAAAAGGTTTTAGTCACTGCCCACCTCTTTGCTGTCACTGAAGGTTCCAAGAACTAAGTGGGAGCAGAGAGGAAGGACAGCTCAGGAAAGAGAAGGAGCAGGCCCACAGCAAGATCGCTGGTATTTAGGGAACCTGGGACGGGGGAATTGTTATAAATTGAGCCTTCCTTGCCCCCCTCCCCCAGTAAATACACCAGAAACAGATATATATCCAAAAGAACGGTATCCTTACCAAAAAATACTAATTTTTAAGAGTCTGCTATTTGCCAAACACTTTACATATTTCCCAACAATCCTACAAGGTAATTACTCTTGCTCCTGTTTTGCAGGTGAGAAAGGGGAAGTTCGGAGAGGTTCGATAATTTGCTTGAGGTCACGCAGCTGGAGGTGGTAGTGCTGAAATTCTCAGTGACTCCAAAGCCCATGCACACCACCTGCCTCCGTCAGTGAAGTCCTAATAATTTATATTCAGACTTTTTTTTCTTTGTAGAGAAATATTCTTGATCACGTATCTACCTTTAAAGGATAATTACAGTCTTTACTGAGAATACTCTAAAAAATATGCTAGTTTCTAATGACAATCTCAAAATGAAATTTTCTACAATTTTCTGACCCATGGAAGCATGGCTAGAATAGATTGGGTTGGCCAAAAAGTCCATTTACTTTTTTCTGTAAACTAAGAGACACATTTTTCATTTTCACCAATAACTTCATTGATTTGGATATTTTGAGTATGTCGGCTATCTCCCACATGGTGTTGACTGTTCTCAGTTCAATCGCCATCAGCTTCAACTGTCTACTCACCACCGAGCATCATCTAGTGAGAAATCTCCAGCACGAAATTTTTCGAACCACTTTTGACACATTCAATCGGTCACAGCACCTTCTCCATACACTACACAAATCTTTTTGCATTTCAATTGCATTTTTACCTTTCTTGAAATAATAAAGCATAATATGCTGAAAATGTTGCATTTTTCTTCAATATTAAAATGGCTACACAAATATTCACCAATTTTGATTTTTTTTAAACGCACACTGACATGACAGCTGTCACAATACAATCTAACAAAATTGTTTCAAATGAAGTTAATGACAACTACATGCTACTAGAGCCATCTTATGGAAAAAATCAAAAGAACTTTTTGGCCAACCCAATATATTTCCAGTCTCCAATGGTGACAGCTACAAAGGGGATAAATTTCATCTGAAAATACAAATTTCTAAGGAAAAAAATAATTTCTTTGCACACTGAAATATTGCAGGTTGAATGACATTATTTAAGATATTCCGTATCTTAAAATACTGCAGCATTAAAAAGCATAAAAAGTCTGTCATTTGTACGTCTTATTGGCACTAGCAGCTGGGAGTTTCCAAGCGAAGTCTGTGACGTGAAGGGGAATATCTGCCCAGTGAGACCTGCTCGGAGTTGACCAGCTCCCATGTTCTGTGGAATGTACTACCACCTAATAAATTTGCTATCTTTTTGCTAAAATACAAAACAAACAAATAGAAAACCACAGTAAAGTCTGGGAGCTCCTTATATCTTCTAAGATTGTTCAAACCTAAAAACTGAACTCTGCCTGAAATTTCTCTTCAAATCTTGAATATACTTTTTAGGACAGAATCATTAACTGGGGTCGGGGAGGCATGGAGGGATATCAGTCTGTCTGGATATTAAGTGTTCCAGGTGAACTTCTTCTCTTTAAATTTTCTTTTAAAAATATTTTATTTAGCCTTTGCTGGTGTGGCTCAGTGGCTGAGTGCTGGCCTTTGAACCAGAGTCACTGGTTCGACTCCCAGTCAGGGCATATGCCTGGGTTGCGGGCCAGGTCCTTAGTAGGGGGTGCACGAGAGGCAACCACACATTGATGCTTCCCTTCCCTCTCTTTCTCACTTCCCCTCTCTAAAAATAAATAAATACAATCTTCAAAAATATTTTATTTATTTATTTTTAGAGGGGAAAGGAGGGAGAAAAAGAGGAAGAAAAACATCGATGTGTGAGAGAAACATAGATAGGTTGCCTCTTGCACGCCCCCAACTGAGAACCTGGCCTACAATCCAGGCATGTGCCCTGACTGGGAATTGAACCAGAAACCTTTCAGTCCAAAGTCCAGCGCTCAATCAACTGAGCCACACTAGCCAGGGCTGAACTGTTTTTTTTATATCTCACTGTAACACATAAATAGAGACATAAACAGATACTAATCTGCAACTATCTGCTCTTACATAGGTTTCCAAACTCTTCTTTAACAGGGCAATTTCCCCCGGAAAATCTCTTTCCTATTATGACCTCTAAAACAGTAATATTAAACATGAGATTTTCTGTTTAAATACCTAGTATTTTTGAAACAAATCTTATGGGCTCACCAACGTTTGTTTGTTTTTTTTTTTTTTTTTAAGATTTTATTTATTTATTTTTGAGTGAGAGAAGAAGGGAAGGAGAAAGAGATGGAGAACATCAAACAGTTGCCTCTCACAGGCCCCCAACTGGGGACCTGGCCTGCAACCCAGGAATGTGCCCTGACCAGGAATCGAACCAGCAACCTACTGGTTCTCAGGATGACGGCCAACCAACTGAGCCACACCAGTCAGGGCCTCTCCAAGGGTTTAAAAGTTAGTATCTCTGTGGACTAATCACATTTCAAAGTATTCTAATACCGCACATATTTACTTAGACATGTTTTGAAGTGAACTCAACTCCTCAATTCGAGGAAACAAAACAAAATCCCCCGAGCAGCCCAGTTAGATGCCACAAAGGATAACCATTCACACCACTTATAAGAGGACCCTTCTACTCTGTCAGAATCTAGTAACTCTTACTTAATGAGTAGGACTATCTGATTTCCCAGACTATGGCAGGTTAAAGAAGAAAATTACAAAGGATAGTGACCCTACTGGAAAGTCACACTGACAGTAGCAAGGATTATCAGCCTGGCTGTGAGGGAAGAGACAAGAAAATTAGTTTGACAAACAAACAAACAAACAAACACAAACAAACGGCATGACTGCTGAAAAGGCAGAGCAGTCTGGGGTCATCAGCATACACAACTCAGAGTCCTTGATTACTGAACTGTGACAGAAGACAGAAATTACAGTATCATTATAAGGCACACTGTAACCTCTTTAAGCAGTAACAAACTGTGTAAGGCACTTTACACTTTCAATAAAACTTAAAATACAAAACTAGGCGCCCCGCCCCCACCAAGGGCGTTACCTCTGCCTTCCCCCTCCTAAGCTCCAAGGCCCTTCTTTTGCCTCCAACCTGTTTCCCGAGTCCCCACAGCCCCGCTGGCTCACTCCCACCACCTCTGTAGCTGTCCAAATAAGCTTTCTCTTATCATTTGAAAACAAAAACTTAATGTATAAAATCAAAACATTTAGCGTTTAAAGATAACCTCAGTTCTCTGAACAATCTGTTTAGTTTATGTGGTCAGTGCTATATAAGTATGATCTGTTCCCCTCTTCTCCGAAGCCTTATCCTTCTCTCCCTTTTTATAAATAGAATTTGTTCAGTTTATCTTAAAACCTTCTCCCAAGAAAGTATTCTTCTGAGTGAAGGTATCTCAAGATCCCCAGTGTTATTTCTTGGTTTAATGTGGAAGCCTAATCAAATACGACATGTGATTACCATCGGATTTGTTACTAGTCTCAGTAATCTGTGTCTCATATGCACGAAGTCCCACCACTGCGCAGTCGCAGAGCAGGGGGTCTTAAAGGTCACTCACCACAGAGGACCCGATTCTGAGGCAGAGGGTCCTGGGGTGGGGCCTGGGGCTGTGTCCAGCAGGTGATCAGGGAACAGACGCAGAGGAACACCCTCCCGCAGCCCCCCCTTATCTAGCCACATACACTCAGTTGTTCCTTGTTCTGCCCCTCAGACGCGGGTTCTCACCCCAGCGCTGGTGCACGTGTGGTCTCGGACACAGCGTTCCAACAGGTCGCTTCTGTCCGCCAAGACTCTGAAGGGTGCGCTACATCAAGGTCTGCATCACTAAAGTCTAATTAATTCTCCACTTTTCTCCCTAACAGCATGCAACAAGCATTTGTTTATTTGGGCCTGGGTTTTTCTGCCCAGGTAGAAAAACTTTTTTTTTTGTATTGGCCAGTAAATCAAGGCACTGAAAGACTTTGTTTCATTTTCTTGTTAAAACTGTAGTTTTGTTGATTTCTTTTTTCACGACCCTAGGGGGTCTAGTTTTGAAACAGACAAGGGCATGTGTGAGATTATTTCAGAGATTACACATTACCTCATTGTAAGGTGAAAAAATAAACTGGAAGATGATCAACAGTCCGATGAGAGTGGGTTGGCTGTCAAAAAATCCAAATGCAGCAAAAAGCTCCTTTCGACCAATTAACACAGCAAACAAGAAGAAACACAGGAAAGAATTCATCTAGAAAGAAGGACACACGATTTCTAAGTTATCACTAAGCTGATTTCACTGTAATACCAAAAAGCAGAATGAGACATCATGGTGTGACTTTAAGAATGCTGTTAGTGTAAGGGCAGAAAAAGTTGGTTAGGTAGTTTTATAGTTTTACTTTCACTGTAAAAAGAAAATAAAATCTCCCCAAACACATGGTTTTCTCTAAAGACAGGCTAAGTGGAGCCTCCTATGATTGAGGGTTTAAAGGGGCCAAGAGTAAAGGGATATTTTCTTTCTGTAAAAAGTTAAAGGGCTAGAGGGGAGTCTGGCTTCATTTGCACTTGACCGTCATCAGACACAAGGCTTTCCACCTGACCTCAATGTGCAGGCTCAAAAGAAATGGGTTTCCCTTGAATTCTCTTTAGGACCAATGGAGCTGAACGTTGCAGTTAGAAAGGTCTGAGAAAAAGGCAGATCTATCCTCAACAATATACGAGAAGGAAGAAATTCCAAAGTCTGAACCAGTAAACTTGGAGAATAAATACCACTCCTTTCCCTTAGCAGATGTGGATCTTGGAAGCCACATATACCATATTTAGGTGTAATGTACCACCTATTTACCAGATGACCCAAAAGCTGCCAGCTCAGAGTGGGCCCAGGCATGTAAGAAGGCTCGCCAGCTGGCCCGAGATGTCCAAGCTGGACAAGCAGCTTTGCCACTCAGCCTTTAGAACTCAGCAGACCCGACACGGACAACTGCACTCACAGCGAAGGCCCTAGAATTGTAAGCTATGTGCTCCGTTTCCATCAGATGGCCATAGTCCTTCTGGAAAACCACCTCTGCTTTGCTACTGGGCTCTGCAAGGACTGACTCTTGACCATGGGACACCATGACCCTGCAACCTGAGCTGCTCCTCCTGACCTGGATGCTCTCCTGGGCCACCCAGCGAGGAGACGGGTATGCCCAGAAGCACTCCAACATCAGGCACACACAGGAGTGAGGATGAAGGAGGCTTTGAAGGCAGAAGTAAGTTAAATAAGCAGGTGGCTCATGCTCCTGGTATGCCAACTCCTGACAGCTGTCACCCCTCAGTCGACCCTTACCCTATGGAGTGCCCTATAATCATTTACGTGTGAGAAGGAAACGTGTGAGCCCGTTTTACAAAGAATACAATACACTGGCACCAGCCTGAAGTGGAATGCCGTGGCATCACAGTACCCCACGAGGATGGCCCTGGAAGACAGTGGTAAAAAGAAATTCTCTCCACGAGGAACTTTAAGAAATTTATCTAACTGTTCACTCAGTCTGGAAGCAGAGAGGGTCTAGGGTGAGGATGTAAATACTAATTCACTGGCAGTGGGCAACCTGTGGTTTGGCTGGATGATCAGCGCCTTGGGAACTAGAGGATGGCTAACAAGGAGATTTGGAAAACAGGGGCGTGGGAAAAATTAGTCCCGAGTGTGATTATTCCCGTAACAGGTGGTTCTCAAGGATCCCACGGAGAAAATGGATGTTGGCCCGTCTCTTTTCTCAGCCACTCAAGAACTGGGTCGAGGGGCCCAGGAACAAAGTGGCCAAGGAGGCAGGGATGGAGTCAGTGTGCTGGTCAACAACACAGGCATCCCCCCAATGGCTGCTGCTAGGTGCCCAATTTATTTTTTGAAGAGGCAATCAACCCCAACCCTGACAAGGTACCACACCTTAGGGACCAGCCACAGCCTCATGGTAAGCTGATTTCATTGGACCTATTTTTGAGAGACAGGCAGTGATTTTCCTTATTAGACTAAATACTTGCTTTGAACTTGGATTTGGACTTATTTAATGTCTTACTCACCATTGTGTATCTATACAACACAGCTTCAAAGCCAAGGAACTCATTTTTATACCTACAGATGTAAGGCATCAGGAAAGTGCCTACAGGGAGGGGGTCCTGAGTCTTCGTATACAATCCATCCCCAGAACCGGCTGGCCTTTAGAAAGGTACAAAGTCCTGCTTAAGGCCCAGTTAAGGCCACATGTGCTCAGATCCAGTCAGCAGGACGGAGTGCTATTTCCCCCAGAGCCTGCGAACTTGTGTGCACTCTGTGGATTTAGAGGTGTTGATACCCAGAGGGGGGATGTTGCAGGAATTGTTACTTTCTTCTTCATATACACTACATTTTCCAGTTTCTTTTCAGTGGATGTATAATGACTTTTAAATGAGGAGAAATGTTTTTTAAAAAAGAATTTATTATCTACCTTACTTAGGCCCACTCCTTTGCCCTTAACAGCTCCTGCAGCTGAATGACTCAGGAGGTAGGGATGACAATGGTGATGACAATAAACATGTTACAATACTTAGTACTTTCCAAACACTGCTACAAACTCTTTACATGCATCAGCTCATTTAATTCATTCTCACGTCAGTCCTACGAGGTACTATCATTCAGGAAGGGAATGGTGGCGGACAGGGGCCCAGGAATGTGTCTGAGGGCACCCACATCAGCAGTGCGTGAGTCAGGAGCTGTGACACAGAGTCAGGGAGCTGTGATGCGGAGCCAGGGGCCAGGCTGCAGAGTCTGTCTTAACCTCGCTACCACAAGACCTCTCCTACCTGCCATTCCTCTAATTTGGCTACCGTCCCGTAAAAAGAGAACTGTCACTCTGAACTTACCTGGCTAATAATGATGTTTTTGACTGTGTGTCCCAACTTCCAATGCCCCAGTTCATGGCCTAGCACAGCAAGTACCTCCTCGTTTTTACATCCTTGTTTCTTATTCTAAATCAAAGAAGAAATTGAAAATAAATGATTAAGAACTTTTAAACCAGTGAAAGCCCACCTTTGATTCTAACTTAAGGAAACAATCTGGCTTTTGTGCAAAACTGTTCGTTCACTTAACAAAACATTCTCTGAGCTACTCCGTGTTAGACACTGGGTTAAGCACTGAAGACAGAATCATGAACAAGACATACTATGACTTCAGGAAGCTTACAGTCTAATTCACATTAGAAAAAAATGGAAAAAACAGTCTTTATCAATACAACAGTATTAAATAAATCATGGCAAGGTCATAAGGCAGCCATATTACAGACCCACTGGAAATTCTGTTCTCAAAAACCATGTTGTGACGTGGGGAAGCCCTCACGACAAACAGTGTCAAACAACCACTATGGCCTATTAGTGACGTTTCAAAGATTATGTTCTGACGGGAAAATGGTTTAATTAGGTGAAGAAAGCAAGAAACAAAACTAAAAACACAGTCTGATTCTCATTAGGAAAAAATGTGAATGTATATGTAAAAATCCACAAATCCAGGAAACAGACTGGAAGTATTCAGTATATCAAAATGTCAACAGTAGTTTTTTTCTTATGGTAGAAGTACAGTGATGTTAACTAATTTATATCTTTCTTATATTCCAAATTTTGTACAAATAATCACGTATCACTTATGACCTCCAAAAATACACCAGAAATTGCCATGAAAAAAATTGAGACTTCCAATTTAAAATGGCAGAAAGAACATTCACATCTAATTTTAGTCCCACCAAAACCCCCAATAAAATGATAATCCCCCCCATATATATAAATGATATAAGCTGCCAAGAATGGGGCAAACAGTAGTGGTGACAACAGCAACATTTTGGAAGCAGGAGGGCAGACGGAGAAAAGAGAACCGGCCTCTTTCACACCAGCGTCTTCAAAGGGCTTAGGGAGGAATAGCAGCGGGTACCCTGGAGCTGGGGAGGAGGGTGCGGTGACTGAAATCAGAACTGGGTGAGAGCTGTTTGAGAACGGGTTAGGGCCCCAGATTCCTTCTCCAGCTCCACACCAAAAGCCAGTGGCTCCTCCTTCACCTGGGCAGAACCCTGAGGGTTTGTTGTCTGGATAGAGCAAAAGAAGAGGACCTTTCACTTGCAGGCTCACCAAGCTTGTCAATAAAAGAGACAGTGGCTGTAGGCCATCACAGCAAAATCTGCCTACAGGCAGGCCGGAGACATCTAAAATACAGGGGTGTCAGGGTTCGCAGTAAAAGGATGGATGGGACAGTGGTGACGGCTGCACTGCATTACAAATACGCACACCAAAACACAACCAAATTTGTACACTTAAAAATGGTTCAAATGGTAAATTTTATCTCAAGTTTTTTTTTGAAAAGTAAAATGATTACACAACATCTAGTAAGCATTAACCAAAGGAAAGCTGGTAGCAGTATTAATTTCAGACAAAATCAACGTAAAGGCAAAAAGCCTTCTTAAAGAAGGTCACATCAGAATGATAAAGGTTCAGTTTAATAGGAGTATACACTAATCCTAATATTTTATGTACCTAGTACTATTTCCTCAGAATATATGAATTCAAAGCTGTCAGATTTGTAAAGAAAACCTGACAAATCTATCATAATAGAGGATGTTAACATACCTCTCAATCACTGAAATATCAAGCAAATGAAATATCAACAATGATAAAAAGATCTGAACAAAATAATAAAAAGCCCAGTCTATTGGAGACATACAGCATCCTGCAACAAGCAATTAGAAAACATATATCCTAGAAAGTGAAGGCTAAAGGTTTTGAAATCAACTCCAGCTACTTAAAAGGGTGAAGTACAAAAAACAGATGAGCACAGAACTGATTGTGCTTTATACAGTTTAGAAAAATGCAGCCTAGTGGGAACACAGGCAGCAGGATTTATTGGAATCTAGATATTTCACCTCTTCTCCCCTCTTTCACCAATTCCTCATTTTTAAGGAAAATGACCACTTAAAGCAAAGCTCGTTAGATGCATAAGGAATCAATTAAAGATATTTGCAAGATAGTTTTTACATTTATTTTATCTTTTCATTCTAAACATTAGAATATAGGTCAGAGGACATTTGGTAGAGAAAGAAAAGAATGAGATAACTAACCTAGTTCTTTCAGTGTCTAAGAGAAACATGTGTACTGGTACGTTCAGGCCATGCCCACTAACCGGGAGTAATAAATTAATGCATCAATTCAGAGACATCTATTCTAAGGGGGAAAGTTAACAGGTGCAACTGAAGACTTACGTACAAAGATATTCACCGCAAGAACATTTTTTGGGGGGTAAGAATATTTTTAACAGCAGGAAATTGGTAACAACCCCTATACCCAACTAACCACAAACATAGTTAGATATGATGGTTAGTTGGATCATGAATGATTTTGTTATGGCCCCCGATGGGTGTGGCTCAGTTGGTTGGGCTTTGTCTTGCAAAGTGAAAGGCTGCTGGTTCGATTCCTAGTCAAGGCACATGCCTGGGTTGAGGGTTTGGTCAACAGCTGCTGGCTGGGGCATGGCTGAGTCATTAAGAGGTAACCAACCAATAGATGTTTCTCTCTCACACTGATATTTCTCTCCCTCTCTTTCTTTCTCCCTTCCCTCTCTCTAAAAATAAGTGAAAATAAAGTCCTTAAAATAAATAAGTGATTTTGTTATTGAGGTTTTCTAACTTTTCTATTATTTCAGTAATAAGCAAAAATATGGCTGTTTTTGTTTAATAATAATAATGATGCTAACTCCTACTCATTAGTGGCTTACACACCAGACAGTGAATATTAGGTATTTTACATACAGCTCATTCATCTCCATCTCTATAAGGCAGGTATAAGTAGCCTCATTTTATATAAATTAACACAGCTTTCAGTCTTCTGTTTTCACTAGTTACCTGCCTTCCAATACGAACTATCAATTCTTTTATAAAAACAACCAGTTCTTGCCCTGGCTGGTGTGGTTCAGTGGATGGAGTGCTGGCCCACAAACTGAAAGGTCACCAGTTCGATTCCCAGTTGGGGCACATGCCTGGGTTGTGGGCCAGGTCCCCACCTGGGAGCAACTGATCGATGTATCTCTCACACACTGATGTTTCTCTCTTTTACTCCCTTCCTTCCCCTCTCTCTAAAAGTAAATAAGTATTAAAAAAAAAAAAAACCAGTTCTCTCTCAGCGCAGGCTATAGGTCTGATGTCTGGACTAAGGAAGTTATTCAGAACGGTAGAGGGGTCACATTCAAAGACATGAATGAAAAGAGCTTAAATAAGGATCACTTTACAGAAAAGGGGGACTTACTTATTTGTCATAGAGTCTTAGGCAGAACTAGATTTTCTTCTCTTCCTACACTGATTTCATATAAATGAGCAGAAATAAACACCACACATATTTACTTATCTATAGTATTAATACTTTTCTTTTTATATAAAATTCATACACTGATTCATTCGAGCCTCACAACACCAAGCTGGACAGGACAGAAAGTATTATCTTCATTTTGGAGAGGAAGAAAGTTAAGAAAGTGAGAAACTAAAATTGCTCTGGCTGGCGTGGCTCCATTGGTGGAGCATCAGCCCATAAAACTAAAGACCGTGGGTTCAGTTCTGGTCAGGGCACATACCTAGGTTGTGGGTTCAATCCTGTCAGGGTGCATGCGAGAGGCAACTGGTTTCTTGGTTTCTCTCTCCCTCCCTTCTCCTCTTAAAAAAAAAAAGTCTTTTCTTTTTAAATTTATTGATTTGAAAGAGAAGGGGGGAGGGGGGATTGGGAGAGAGAGAGAAAAACACTGATTTGTTGTTGTACTTATTTATGCATCATTGGTTGCTTCTTGTATGTGCCCTGACTGGGGATCAAACCCGCAACCTTGGCATATTGGGACAATGCTCTAACTGAGCTACCCAGCCAAGGTGAGAAATTAAAATGTCTTGCTTGACATCGTCTTGCTAATAACAGTGGGTAAAATTCAAACCCACATCTTTGGAACCTATGCCACTTTTATTCTGTTATACTTATCAGCTAGGAAGACTTTCACCTAACCCTAGCTTTTGTAAGGGAAATACTTGTTTTCTTCTGCAAAAGGGCAGCTTTTCTGTACAGCTTTTATATGGTTTTAATTTTCCTTTTATTTAAACTGCTTTTGACACAGGTTGTTCAAATTACGTGTTCCATTTGTCTCCTGAAGGGTAAAATTCCAGAGAATAAGTTCCCCAGACATTTTTTAAAAATATTAATAGCCAGTATAGAAACACTCAGAGACTTCCGGCAAGATGGAGGCATAGGTGAACGCACTGTACCTCCACGCACAACCAAGATTAGAACAACAACAATTTAGAGGCAGAATAACACCCAGAACTGACAGAGAATTTATCTGAATGGAAGTCGGACAGCCAAGAAGTTGAAGTAGACCCGTTCACCCAGACCCGTAGGAGGGGGGGAGACGAGCAGCCAGGCGTGGGTCACGGCCACGGTGTGCAGAGTACAGGGAGAACTGGGAACAGAAAGCAACCGGGAGTGCGTAAACCATCTGGGGCGTGCAAGATCGCAGCGGGTGGACCCTGAGTATGCAAGTGGCAACTGGCGGACCCAGTGAGGCTGCAATTGTGGACCAGGGCATAGCGCGCAACCCAGGATCCCAGGGAAGGGACTGAGATCCCAGGAGAACGGAGCTACCCCCATTGTTCCCCCAGCCCCCACATACAACGTCACAATCTAGCGACTGAACACCTAAGGCTCCGCCCCCTCACCGTAACAGGAGCGATGGGGGAGGGGGAGGGGAGAGAGAGAGAGAGAGAGAGAGACATGTCTCAAACAGAAAAACAGATCAATGCCCCAGGGCTCATCCTCTTGAGCGACCAAGAGATTGCCAATCTATCAGATGCACAGTTCAAAACACTGGTGATCAGGAAGCTCACAGAATTGGTTGCTTTTGGGCACAAATTACATGAAAAAAATGCAGGTTACCATAAAAGAGATGAAGGAAGATGCATGGA